GACACCCTCAGCCCGACGGGCTGTCATTTCTGTACTAAACGCGGGTCGGAATTTTTCACTCTTTTGGTGGAAAGGGGTGCCGTGCCGCTTATCAATACACTTGATTGATATTTTCTGCGCCCAATTTATTTAGGGGTAAATGAGGCACATCAAAGTACATTTTGAAAAAAGGGGTCATTTTTTTCGTCATTTTTAACCATGGCTGCATGGAAAAAACGAATTTTCCCAGGGTAACGGCTTAGTACTCGAAGAAGCTCAGAACCTAATGTTTCCAAAATTTGAATTTAATTAAAATCGATGCGATAAGTTTATCGCTATCTTCGATGGCCCGAACACACCCAGAACGCATATAGAACGTACCATCCCGGCGGTCAGGCGAAAAGGCCACATAACCATCCGCGCGGACGAATACCAGGAAGTCTTAGCTGGACCACCAACATTACGCCACCTATAAAGGCTACAACTAACAGGCTTTTCAGAAAATACAAAGATATGTACACAGATATTACGATTTCAGGGATATCGCGGCCAAAACATACCATACAAAGTCACGTTTCCGGCGATTTACTCCGCACTTACTTAGACTCTGGTCAGAATTAAACTCCGACCCGGAACCTAAACAGCTGAACATCAAATATTATACAATGAAAAAATAGATGATAGACATGGTAAAACCAAAGATGTTATATTTTTTTGTTGAAGCTCCTTCATAAAATAGACAATCTAAATGCAAAGTAAACTGCACAATAGAATTATCATATGAGTTCTATCATATAAATGCATTTACTTGAAAATTTCAGGTTGGCAAAGTGATACCTGCTTTACACAAGCAACCCAAGGATGCCATTACACGTTCGGATTATTGGAATACTATTTAATAGGGGGCCCATGTGAAAACCAAAATTTTAGAACCCCGTGTGTATACAGCTAGCTAACGTTAGTTACTAGTATCACACGGCTCAGAGTCAGACAAATTTATTGAATCATTATTGAATCAGTTCTCTCTTGTACAAGGTATCAAGTCTATCATAGTAATCAATTTGACCAATCATATATCAATGATCAATTTGATCAAATTCATATGATACGATATCTAGAGAGACGATCCCAGTCGCCCCCCTCCCCCTCCAACAAAATCACGCAGCTGACTGTGTGGTAGACGCTCTTACAGTCTTACCTCGTTATTTTCGACCTACAGATGGAATGTGGACGTTACTGCGACGTTTCTCCTGCAAAATATCGAAGATTCCCCTAAATTCCAGGTGTAAAACGCCGACAGTGTGGTCTGTGCTACACGCAGCTTTTCTTCTGTTTTTCACTCCGCCCTCCCCACGCGCGCTGGGAACCATGGGAAGGGTTGGTGGGCTCTTCTACTTCCGGGTTCTCCCTATTAAACATTCCCATCAACCACAGCGCTTCTCTCGAAAGTTTGAAACTCAGTTTTTCGTTACTTTGGGGGCCACATGCATTAAAAATGCGTGTCTTATATGATCACCTTTCTCATGATCTTACCGGAATTCTAGTGATATCAGTCATGCACATTTCACGACTTAAAAAAAAGCCTAACAAGGAAGGCATTAAAAATCATCAACATGGCGACGATTGAATGAATATCAATGTATGTGTTGGAGCCAGAAATATCCATTGCAACGCTTCTAAGAAAAACAATACTGTACTACACATACGTATGGTGGACGATGTACGGAGTTTTTCTTCAGCATAATGGTTACTCTCCAAGCAGAGGTTTGGGGGTATTTTAGCGTGTTTTTAGGCTTTTTTTATCGGGGTTTCTCTTTTGCACTGAATTTTTTTCCCCACCAAACCCAAGATTTGGTTTGGTTTAAAAATGGGTTCGGTGAAAAAAAAAAATTCAGTGCAAAAGAGAAACCCCGATAAAAAAGCCTAAAAACACGCTAAAAATACCCTCAAAACCCAAACCTCTGCTTGGAGGGTAACTTTTGGTGTGTTTTTAGGCATTTTACAGGGCTCTCTTTGTTGTAATGGTATCTTTTTTTACGGTGCAGGCTATATACCAAATACACATTTAAGCACATAGAAGAAGGCACATTCTTCCCACAGCGATATAATGACAGTCCATATTAATCATGAATACAAGCTTAAATATTTTAATCTTTTATTCTTCAGTTACGAAGGTAAACATTATGCATTTTCTTTGCAAATGTTATCTTTCAAGTTAACAAAGTTAACGCGGACACATGAGGTGCCATCCGCCGTCCACTGAGAGCTGGGCGCCGGTTATGAAGGACGCGTCAGACGAGGCCAGGAAGGCGATGGTCTTCGCAACTTCGGACACTTCTCCGGGCCTCCCCAGGGCGTGGAAGGTCTTGCAACGTTCCATCAACTAAAAGACAAAACAACGTGATGCATGTGCTTTATCAAAACGGATTAATGTATAAATGAGCTTTAAGTCTGGTATTACATTAATGCGACTAATTATGTAGTATGTATTGATTAATTGTCTATCAAAAATGAATTATCTTAAGTGCTCCTTCAGAGGACGCTAGATCTTATACCTGGGCGATCTTCTCTTCAGGCATTCCCATAGTTTTGAAAAAGTCTGTCGGGATCACACCAGGGCTGTGGATAGACAGCAAAGATAGAATGTCAGGAATAAGTAGATAAAACAGTTATGAATATGTTTTTTTTTTAATCCAAAAAAGGTCATTTCCAGCACAAATCCATGTCCAGCGCAACTTTGGAATATCAAAAACAGCAAATTTACATCTCGCAAAATCGAGTGGTTGCATGAATGCAAACCTGACAAAAACAACTACTATACATCACATAGGTAATTTAAAAGATGTGTGTGTTGCGGATAAAAAACTCACTTGACAGAGTTGACCCTGATTTGCTTGGAAGCTAGTTCTGAAAAATCAAAGGTAATTCTTGTCTCGAGAGACAGTGACATAAACATAACTGCTTATCAATTCAAGAAACATCTTTCTGATATTGTAAAGTATAGATCTTGCAAATAATTTTACGAATGTTACTAACCAAGCGCCACACATCTTGTGAACTGGTCCAGTGTTGCCTTGCTCATGCTGTACGCGAGACATCCTGACATCTGAAGAGGAATAAGCTGGTCACTAAATTGCACATGGTTACCATGGTGTGAGACGTCAACAAATCAGGTCATTGGTCAGGTCAGAGGTCATTGTTTGGGACGGAAGAAGAGGAAACTGACCAAAAACAATATTTTCCTTCGGTAAATATAAACACAATGCTTTCCCTCTTTACTTACATAGCCGGCTTATTGTAAATATTGTTGTTTTATAAATCAATGAATAAACCCAATTGCTAGGCAATATGAATAAACCACTGGGTTTTATTATGATAAGATAAACCGTTTGCAAGTGTGCTGGTAAGTCCAACACTGACCTGAACTTGTTCGATTCCCAGAAGGAGAAAAACTTACCGATCGTACCCCATTTATGCTGGACACATTTACAACGGCACCTGGGAATAACAAGCAATATTTTAAACAGTATATACTACAGATGTCATAACAAGTTGTATTTCATATAGGCAAAGGCAAACAGTGGTATCTCTCTCTCTCTCTCTCTCTCTCTCTCTCTCCTTCTCTTTCGACATCTCTCTCTCTCGACCTCCCTTTCTCTCCCGATCGACCTCTCTCTCGATCGAACCCTCAACATCTCTCCCTCTCTCTAATCTCTCTTTCGACCTCTCTCTTGACCTCTCTCTTCCCCCTCTCTCCATCTCTCTCTCTCTCTACCTCTCTATCTCGACCTCTTTCTCTCTGTACCTCTCTCTTCCCCCTCTCTCCATCTCTCTCTCTCTACCTCTCTATCTCGACCTCTTTCTCTCTGTACCTCTCTCTCCAGCTCCCTCTCTAGATCTCTCTAGATCTCTCTCTGGCATCGTAAATGAAAGTTAGATACCTTTAGTTTTTGTGAGATGTGGAACGCACAACTGAGTCAGTCTGACCGCACTGCGAACGTTGACGTCCATCGTTCTGTCATACTCCGCCATGTCTAATGTCTCCAGATCACTAAACTTTCCGATGCCGGCATTGTTAACCTGTTGGAATGGGAGAGAATAGATATATAATGTCATGTATTGCATACGCGCTTTCTCATCATATACGATTTAGTTGAGGGATAAGTCCAAATATTACGTTCCTCCTCATCTTAATTTTTGTTACTGATCATCATGTGATGTGTGCAATGGCAAGGTATTGTAATAATGTACCAGGAACAAAAAAGGAAATCTAGATACGATATACAAATCATATAGAGTTTAAACACCATGAATATGATAGTTTTATTACCAGCACATCGATCCTGCCAAACTTCTGAGCAGTCTGGTCCACCAGGTTCTTCCTTACTTCGTCATCACAGATGTCTCCTGTTACAACCAGAATCTGGGGGGAAAGGAAAGATATACTTTATTTTATGAACTATATAATTACACAATTTCAGACAGAAATCAATCAGTTAATATGAACAATAGATTTGATTTGATTTATTGAAATTGCAACAATATACGCGAGACACTGAGGCAGCTGCTGCTGATGTTGTGTTCCACGCATAGAAACAAATACAGGACAAACAATACTCATTTTTCACTTGGGTTAAGTAAGGAAATCAATGTAAAGTGCTTTTCGGCCCAAGGGCACAAGATCGGTGGCATGTTAGGACTCGAACCAGGAACCTCTTGGTTCCGAGTCGAGCACTCTGCCCCTGGCATGGCGCCACACGACCCCGGCAACGTTTGCGTTCATCATCATGTCACTCTACAATAAACGTGACCAGCATAACAAAATATATAATTACACAAACACTGACAGATCCGATACCTCTGTCAGTTGTTTGTTGCCAGTTGAATATCTGCCAGTTGGCACACAGTTGATGAATGACTATTTGCTGCCAACTTTACTTCCTGCCAATCTGTGAACGTGACCAGCATAAGCCAAATGACAGACAAGTAAACAGCCACATTGAAAACAATCCCCCGGTTTACCAAAACAAATACCTTGTCTTCTGGAGTCCCTGCCTCCACACAGGCCTTTGCTGTGGCCTGCAGGTTTTCCAGGTTTCTCCCAGTCAGAGCCAAGTGCGCTCCCAGCTGAGCAAATTCCACAGCTGTCCCCTTCCCGATGCCAGAACTCGCACCTGATAAATACCCTATGGTTACTCTACCACATTTATGTATATGGTGAGCAGCCCCTCCAACTCTTCCCTATTACATAATGTACTAGTAATCTAATACCATAGAATATATGGCACATTACCAGTTACCATGGTGCCAGACGTACGTCTAGACCAGGTCGTTGACTTTATTTGCACTGAGACCATATGCTTCCCTTGAACGTGACGTTTGTCATCTGAGAAGATAAACATCATAAACTATAGAAAGATAAATCTGTAAAGTAATAAATGTATAATAGTTGTCACAGGGTCTAACCTAACAAACTACTGCCCCGTTTATTCTTACTCAAACACATTGTACATATGGCGACCGTCCCTTCCAGCTCTGTCATGCTACAAAATGTAACTTAACACCAGAATGTCTGCTACAGCACCAGTTACCATGGCGACAGATGTCTGGTCCAGTTCACAGACCTTATGTGTTTGGAGAAGAAAAAGAACCTAAGAAAAAACTGTGCGATGTTTTTCTTCTGCGAAGGTATTATAAAACATAAGACGGATGTGACAACATTGAAGCAAACACTAATAGCTATTCGTTCTGATACATCGCGTCGTTTACAAAGCCTGCAAAGGCCAGGGTCCCTGTAGCATTGTAGCATGTTCATATCAAGGAAGTTAAGTACTAACTTGATATATAATTAAGGACATGCCAGGGCCACCTTCCCCTTTCCCCGGCCGAACAGTCAGACCACTGAACAGATTGGACATTTAAACGAATTTTGCGAGCTGTTCACGGTTGCTGTTTACTTACCTGTGATTATGGCTACCTTCCCTCTCAAGTCAGGCATCTTTTGGCTGAAGATTTCGACTCCGTCAGGTCTTAATTTTGATGTAAGGAGGCTAAAAACAAATTGACGTTCTCGCCTTGAAGTTCCTTCTCACAGCAAGACCTGGTACTGTGCGCAAGTTCACTGATACAATGTCATTGGGGAGGGGCCATATGCATGAATTAGTCATGCGCAATGGGCCCACATTGTTCACGATAATTTATTTGTTACTATTTGATACAATGTTTTTCCTGGGGCCAATTTTGGTCAGATTTGGCCAGTTTTCTGCCAAACATACAATAGTTGGATTTGGTCTAGACAGAACTTGTGAACCTGTGACCTTAGTGTAGTGTAGTCATAGTGGTATTATGTTACGCATCGCTTGGCAATGGTTCATAGCCCCTCAGGCAGGCGGTATGAAATACGTCAGTTGTTAGGTTGAAGTGGGACAACCCCATACCCCCCTCCGTCTACTAGAGACCTATGGGTCATAAAAAGGGCCACATGCTTAGTATGTAGACTTTTTACCTTCATGAAAAATGGAGGTATTGTTTTTGGCGTGTCTGTCTGTCTGTATGTATGTATGTATGTATGTATGTATGTATGTATGTATGTCTGTGTGTCTGTGTGTGTTTTCCGCAACTTTATGGTCAGCATAACTTCAGAACGCCTTTATGGATTATGATGATATTTGGTATGTTGGTAAGTCTTAGGAAGACGAAGGTCAAGGTCAAATATGGGCCTCCTGGTGGATGACCTTGGTACTGCAGCAGAACTTCCGGTTTTTGTATCTTTTGTCCTGAACATGCTATGGTCTTGATGTTTTGGTGACAGATTGCTTTTTCTGTCAGGAATAAGTGGTGTGAGTTTGGTCCCCCTAGCAGCTTGTTCTGGAACTGAAGGGCACTTTCTGGCGAAATGTTTAAAAGCCAATAAGTCCAGATAGGAACAACATATTTTCATAATTTTTGGTGTGTAGGTAGCTGAGAGAGAGATGTACATGATTAGATGCAAATTATGCAAATGAGGACTTTATTTGCATAATTAATGAGGAAATTATATGATTGCAGTGTTTTACATTATACTACTTTCATACATGTAATGTATGCAACCTATGGCAGGCAGAACATCAACAGATACTAATTATGCAAATGATGACCCAATTTGCATAATTTATGCAAACATTTATGATTTCTTAATGGTGAATAATGGGAATGTCATACTTGGGACATCTGTAAGTTAATCAAAAGTTAACATACATCACGATGCATATATCATGTTAACGCGGAGGTAATTTGCATAATTAAAGAGGAAATTTACATTTACATATCAAGCCCATATTTCATGGAGGTATGAAATCTCAGAATTCTTGTTCTTTCTGTATCCAGGCCGATATAACTTAAAGCCAAGAAAATAGAGACCGAAACCGTAAAACGTAGAAAAAAGCAATGAAAGAAAGACATCCTAAAACAGACCAAACCTCTGCTTGGAGAGTATGCAACTGGCACGCAAGAATTCTCTGTACACCGATCATGTCAATCCATTACCCTGTCCAGCCAATGACAATATAGCAAATTATAGTTCAACCAATGAGAGAGCGGCTGCAACCACGAGTCCAACCAATCATCACACCAACCAATCACAGCATGGCAATTATAGATCGACCAATGAGAGAGCGGCTTCTCACCCGCGTAGCTGGGATGTACCAACGGCTGGTAGGAGGGGGGGGCTACATGTTTTTAAGAGATTATATGTCGAGAAAGAACAACAAATACACTGCACATTCAAACACTTTCTCCAGAAGAAAAACGTTTGCAAACTGCGCAAGAATTCCTTGAGAGTTTTGAAGGAGGCACTTCCGCTTTCTTGAATACCTCTCCAGAAGAAAATTTAACAGTCCAAGCATCAACCATCAACCGTGGAGGTTTGTATTCAAATAGGAAATTCCGTTTGTGAAGATGAGCCAGCACAGACACGCACGGCCCAGCGTCTACATTTGCTGCCCGCAAGGTAAGTTTTTTTTCCCATTCCTAGCAGTAGAATAACGCTTGCTATCCACGTACACTTGCCTTCGGCAGTGTTCGCAAAGAAATCTAAGATGTCTTTTGTAGGATTTTACTGAAACAAATAGTCCACGGAAATGAAGCCGATCTCATGACATGTGGCACCCGGCAAGCTTGTCCTGCTGACAGTAATTCCGTGAATATCTCCAAATTCTTCATTTTTCAGTGACTGTGGTACCAAAGATCAAATAGAATGCGTGTAATTGAAGTTTCCAACCGATTTTTTTAGCAATTTTCTGTCAAGATTATATTGTGGCTATAAAATTATGGGTTCTTCCGAATCACCTGTCAATCACTCGTCTCGTGGCTACCGGTAACATATGTTCCCGCCAAAAGCCTGTAGCGTTATTTGAAACAACAGAATCCAAACGTATTTATAGCATTTTATTTAAACAACTAGTGTCAAATTAGGGAGGGTTTCTGTCATAAAAATCTATATTTTCATGGTTAAAGTTGATTTTTGCTCGATTCTGGTCAACAACAACGGCTCCCGGTAACAGTGTAAGTATGCTCAGTGCCGCGCCGCAGTTCCCGCCACGCCAAGGTTTTGCCACAAGCGTCATTTGAAACTGTTTAAGCCAAACGTGTTTATAGCATTTTATTTAAACAACCAGTTTCAAACTAGGGAGGGTTTCTGTCATAAAAATCTATATTTTCATGGTTAAAGTAGATTTTTTGCTCGATTCTGGGCAACAACAACGGCTCCCGACAATGTATGCTCAGTGCGGGGCCGCAGTTCCCGCCACAAGTTTTTGCCACAAGCGTCATTTGAAACTGCTTAAGCCAAACATGTTTGTACACTTCATACCAACAGCTAGTGTCAAATTAGCGAAGGTTTCTGTCATGAAATGTCTGTTTTTATTCTTATAGTTGCTTTTTGCCCGATTTTGGCCAAGCCTCTCGGCAGCTGATTTATCCGTCTGTCGGTCATGTTTCGCGCCACGTTTTGGTCATGTTTCGCGCCACGTATGCATAGCCCTGGCTCCGATCGACTCGTCGGTGCCACCAAAAGACCTGTAGCTTTACATGTAACAACTTTAGCGTAGCATATTCGGAGCAATTTATTTTAACTGCCGGTGTGAAATTGTTGACGTTTTCTGTCTCAAAATGGCAAATTTTGATCTTTCTTGTTGTTGTTTTTCTACCAGGTTTCCAGTCCAGCCGGTCAGCAAAGGCGGGGTTTGGATGCCATGGCCGGCGTCAGAATTCCTCCATCCAGGTGCGTTTACTGTAAATTTCACTTTTCCTAGCTGAGCTAGAATGAACCGTTTTAAAGCGTTTTTTATAAGTTGTAAATGTTTTGGAGGTATCGTAAACAATAGCCCGGCTGTGACCTTCCTTGACTTGCTTGTTTTTGGCACAGTTGTTATACCTGATTCTCCTATATATTCATCCAGTTGGATTCCAAATACATTCTAATGTATGCATACATAAATTGCTGACATTCAAAATCAACTCTTTTTACATTTCTCCTACAACAGCAGCCTCTATTAAAAACTATTAGTCTCTCTTTTTGCACACAGGGCGCCCCCTGATGACGGAAGATGGTACTGCAGCAATCAACAGGTTCTGGCTGAATCTGAACTCGAAGGATGGATTGGATCGTGGATTGGATTGTGGGGCTCGTTCCTTTATACCAGATGTTTCCTGAAGGAAGCAAGCTTCACGAAGACGACTTGACCAGATGAAATTTTAATTTCTTTACCGTCAAACCTAAAGAGTAAGGGAGGGGGGCGTTGGGAGACTTTATATTACATGTAATCTTTAGTGTGAACAGTTTTGTAGTTTATGTAGGGAATGTTTGGACACGATGTGCCTTGTTTTTACGTCTATGCAATATTTATGTCATTATGTTACTTAGTAATATAATAGATAGAACTTTGGGGTGCAGGGATACAATTTCTTAGACTTATAGTTGTAGCTAAGTAAGATTGTCACATGTTATGATGTAAGAGATTGTACCATTGTACCTAAATAAGTTGGAAAATTGAGAGCATGAAAGTGATTTTCTTGGTGTTAATTTTTGCACCTGTTTATGCCATGGCTTGCTCTCTGATGCTCACATGCACTTGACTTTTAGACTTATAGCTATTAGCGAAGGTAAGGTAAACGTAGGGGACGTAGGGACCGTTAGGGAACGTAGTTAGTAGTCTAAGTGTGTGCTGACACAGGGAGCAAAATCCTGGCCTGCAAAAAATGTTTTTGCATAATCACAAGGCACACCAAAAACTTAGCTAGTCGTCGATGTTCGAGAGGAGCACTTATGTATTGCTGTGGAGAGGACAAGCCAGAACGCCCAGCTGAGATGCCAGAGGTAAGCCATGTGGGACTGCATGCTGTACTAACATGTACTTTTTCTCCCTTGACAAAATTTGGGGGTACCAACAAACTCGCGTAGCACTCATGTTGGGTTAGGGCCAAACCATAACTAACCTGTCCTTCCTTTACTCCGGCAACTTATGCCATTTTATGTTTTTTGTCCCGTACTAGGGAGGGAAAAGCCTGGTTACCGGGCTAATATTATCCACAGAGTGTTTATCCTCTCGAGAAATAGGTCTAGTAACCGGGCTATGGGAAACCGGGGTCCTTCCGAAAGGGTTTTTTCTCTTCTTCTTTAGTTTGACTTTGTATACAGATTCTCATTGGATTGAAGTTCATCATTGGAAGCACATCGTGGTCTGTGAGGCTCAGTTTTCATTCGAGGAAGGAAGCAAGTTTCGACGAAGACTACAAGACTAGATGAGATTTTTCTTTCTTACCTGTTAAATGTAACGAGTAAGGGTGGGCGACGTTGAAAGACTTAAAGCCACTACATACCTAGTCTGGTCTGAACAGTTTAGTAGCACCCAGAAACAGTGTACGCGGGAGGGAGTAGGGAGGGGGGATGGAGTGAATTTGTTACTAACTTCTCTTCCGAAAGGGTTTTTTTTCTCTTCTTCTTTAGTTTGACTTTGTATACAGATCCTGACGTTTATCGTTGGAAGCAGATCGTGGTCTTTCCAAAGTCCTTGCTGTGAGGCTCAGTCTTCATTCGAGGAAGGAAGCAAGCTTCGACGAAGACTACAAGACCAGATGAGATTTTTCTTTCTTCCCGTTAAATGTAACGAGTAAGGGTGGGCGGCGTTAAAAGACTTTAAAGCCAGAGTTTACACTACATACCTTGTCGGGTCTGAACAGTTTAGTAGCACCCAGAAACAGGGTACGAGGGAGGGAGTAGGGAGGGGGGATGGAGTGAATTTGTTACTAACTTCTCTTCCGAAAGGTTTTTTTCTCTCTTCTTTTTAGTTTGCCTTTGTATGCAGATCCTGACGTTCATCGTTGGAAGCAGCATGCAGATCGTGGTCTTTCCAAACTCCTTGCTGTGAGGCTCAGTCTTCATTCGAGGAAGGAAGCAAACTTCAACGAAGACTACAAGACCAGATGAGATTTTTTTCTTCCTGTTAAATGTGACGAGTAAGGGTGGGCGGTGTTGAAAGGCTTTAAGTCAGAGTTTATACTACATACCTTGTCTGGTATGAACAGTTTTAGTAGCACCCAGAAACAGGGTACGAGGGAGGGAGGAGGGGGAATGGAGTGAATTTGTTACTAACTTCTGTCAAGTTGCCTTTCCAGTAGACCCCACGTCTTCACGTTGCCAGAGGGACCATGAAGGAAGCCGGCCGAACTTCATAGGCCAACATAATTGTCTTCAACTGATATTGGCTTTCAGTCGAAGTGCCAGCCTGCCACGTCAGCCAGCTGTATTAGCGATCTAGGTAAGTTGGAAGGGAGCTTTATATTAGATAACAAATGTTTTGAAGGTGTATCAATTTTCATGTTTGAATCGGTTTGAAATCGTAACAGTACAATACACGTGGAGCACAGGCAGATGTTGCTGGTGTTGTCCCACACATAGAATATTACAAACGTATACAAAAACCAATAAAAGTAGAATAACATTATGTTACATCTAATCTTCCGTTACGTTTCCGATCCTTCCACATTCCTGTATATTTCTTCCACCTCAAACAGCTGGCTCGAAAACGCTCTTTCCTTTAATTTTGCACACAGACGCGCCCCCTGATAGCAGAAGATGGTACTGCAGCGCACCACGGGTTCTGGCTGAATCTGAACTGGAAGGATGAATTGGAGTGGGAACTGAGGGGCTCAATCATTTGTACCAGACGTCTCCTGAAGGAGGCAAGCTTCAAAAAGACGACTAGACCAGATAAGGCTTTTCTCGTTTTCCCCCTCGTCAAATGTAAAGAATCAGATGAAAAGAGTTTGGATTTGCACTGGCGTATTTAGTTAAGCATTTGCGCATTTTTTTCATTTCGGATTTGCATTTGCGGATTTTGACCATTTTCCCATTTGGATTTGCATTTGCGGATTTTGACCTTTATTTTTCCCATTTTGGATTTGCATTTGCGGATTTTGACCTTCATTTTCCCATTTTGGATTTGCATTTGCGGATTTTGACCTTCATTTTCCCATTCTAGATTTGCATTTGCGGATTTTGACCTTCATTTTCTCATTTAAGATTTGCATTTGCAGATTTTGACCATTTTCCCATTTGGATTTGCGGATTTTGACCTTCATTTTTCCCATTTGGATTTGCATTTGCGTACTTGGACCAGCATTTGCGGGTTTTGACCTTCATTTTTTCCAGTTTGGATTTGCATTTGCGGATTTTGACCTTCATTTTCCATTTTGGATTTGCATTTGCGGATTTAGACCTTCATTTTCTCATTTAAGATTTGCATTTGCAGATTTTGACCTTCATTTTTCCCATTTGGATTTGTATTTGAGTACTTGGACCAGCATTTGCGGATTTTGACCTTCATTTTTTTCCATTTTGGATTTTCATTTGCGGATTTTGACCTTCATTTTTCCCATTTTGGATTTTCATTTGCGGATTTTGACCTTCATTTTTCCCATTTGGATTTGCATTTGCGTACTTGGACCAGCATTTGCGGATTTTGACCTTCATTTTTCCCATTTTGGATTTTCATTTGAAGATTTTGAGCTGCATTTGCGGATTTCCTTCGACATTTGCGTATTTGGATCTGCTTCTTTACACCTCACTTGAACGGATGCAAGTCGTGTTTGGATTCTTTCGTGCCAGCATTTTGAAACTGCTCTTTCTGGGATCGTCTGAACCGGAAAACGGCCAGCTAGGTGAGTTGTTACTTTCGTTACTTATCCAGACATCCAGAAACAAGGTGTAAGGGTGTAAATGACGCTAACATTGTAATTTGTCTCCTTTTCAGCAGAGTCCATCGGTTAGTGTTGCTCGGTGGACCGTGTGGAAAGTTAAATAAGATGACAAAAGAAATTATCTTAAACTGATATCCTTTCTCTTGTAGCCTGAAATATTCCAGCCAGGCTATTTGCTTGGACATGGACTAATTCTGATTGGCACTCAGTTTTGGTAACCCTGACGCTCATCCTGACATGCCCACCAACAGCTTTTGCACGTTACTTCGAATTTTCAGGCCTTGTGTGCACTTGGCTCAAATTCCGTATAACATGTAAAAATGCAGTTGCAACAACATTCAGTGTTATAAGTAAGAAATATAAAATTGTCCTTTTCTGGAAATAGGAAATCGGTCAAAACCTGAACTGCTTTAGTTCCCAAATTGTGAGCCAAGTGATACTCTAGACTTGATATGTTATGTGCATGGAGGGGGTTGGTGGTTGTGAGCAGGATGACATCCCAAATTCCCTCAGCAATGGAGGTACACCTTGACGTGGTGCTGGGGCTTTTGCTAAGATGCCTCCCACAAAATCAAGTAAAGATTAATAAACACGTTAAGCTGTGGTCTACTACAAAGGAGGGGACTTTCTTGCAAGGATTGGACTGCTGAGGTATTCCCAACACTCGTTGGTGAAGGTGAGACATCCAAGTAATAAGATACGCCAACAACCAGTTACTCAAGCATTTGAATTTTATTTTAAAAACACACCCTTATCGAGAGACAGCATTTAGCTATAAGCTAGCCGACAATGTCGAGTGGTCATGTAAGCATAGTTAAGGTGGGCACACGGCGTGTTTGCCGCCGTCCACGGGGACCTGGGCGCCGGTTATGAAGGACGCGTCCGAAGAGGCCAGGAAGGCGATGGTCTTCGCAACTTCGGACACTTCTCCCACCCTTCCCAAGGGATGCGTAGTCTTAGAATGTTCCAGAAACTAATCATGAACAAAAACAACAAACGTGATGTTTTGTCATGAAAGTTCATCTGTGTTGGTAGTTATACATGTTTAGAGTTAAAACTTTTGGGTCATCACAAAAAAAAAGTTTTCTCACCTAGAGCTTTTCGACCAGTCACTCTGGTCTTCCTCAGTAGACTGACCCAGTGAGGCTTGTCACGTGGCTTCTTTGAAATGTGACGTCAACACTGGGTCAAAGGTATCTGTCTCACTCGGTCAGCCTATTGAAGAAGACCAGAGTGACTGGTCGAAAGCTCTTGGTGACAACAATCTTTTGTGTTGGATCGAAAGTTTTTTAAAACTATCTAAAAACGTAATGCATGTATATTAAACCAGAAGGAGACTCGCCCCCATACCTTGGCATATTTCTCTTCGCCCATTCCTGCACGTTTGAATATCTCTGTCGGGATCACGCCGGCACTGTGGGTTGACAGAAATGATAGAATGATTTCAGGCACAGGTGGACAAAAATTATTAACATTTGGACTAAAAATAACGGCCATCGTGACAAATCCACGTCCATAACTCTGGGTCTAAATATTCATATTCACAGCACGTAACGTTACAAAACGTTCACTCATCTAGCTAGAAATGACTGAATAAAAATTTGACATGCGTATATTCAAAGTCTGTAAGCTGAAATACAATTTTACAGTGTAGGTGGGATGCATCTGATTTTTCAAAAAATGATATTGCAAAAAACTCCTCTCTTTCTCCTTATGACTTTAATATCCATAGTTTATTCAAATTTGGAAAGGTTCACATTGATAAAATCAACTTACTTGACAGAGTTGACCCTGATTTGTTTCGACGCCAGTTCTGAGAAAAATTCAGAGTTTTAGTGGTTAGAGACGGTAAAATGAATATATTTTGACTGACAGTGATACATACATAATGATGCAGTATACGTTTAAATAGCATTCTTAAACCAAATGACATTGCAGTATATACTGACCAAGAGCAACGCATCTTGTAAAGTGGTCCAATGCTGCCTTACTCATGTTGTAAGAAAGTAATCCTGGAAACTGAATGGGAATAAGCCGATTCACGATTGTACCTGTACATTGCAGCTAGATGCACTTTGAGAAATATGTTGATCTGGACAAGAAGAATTGTTTACAAGTCAGAGGGCTCCTCTTACACATCACACTTACAATTCTTCTCGCTGTCCACGCACAGCACAAGTCGAACTGTGAAACGGCTCATTGTATGAGCAAGGAGTTACCTCATAACGTGCCCAATGATTTGAAAACCCTGCAGGCCTTAGTTTCAACATGAATTATCGGTTGTCTTGTATTCTAATGAGAAAAACATACAAGTATTACTGTAAGTAAACTGACATTAGTTTGTTCAATGACCTGTAATGAGAAAAAAACACTTACCGCTCGCATTCCGTTAAGACTGGAAACATTTACAATGGCACCTGGGAGGAACAAACGATGAATATGGTCCGAAGTTAAAATCTGTTTCAATTTGAATTTTAAATCAGCAAAAACCACAGTTGTTTTATCAAAATACTCAAGGCTACATTGTACTTCACACTATACACGCACAAAAAATTAATTCTAAATCAAAGTTATGTTTAGTTTGTGACTACTCTGCACTATGTATAATCCCCACTATACGCCCATGGAATTGTACGTACAATGAAAGTTAGATCTAGAAACCTTTAGTTTTTATAAGATGTGGAACACACAACTGAGTCAGTCTGACCACGCTGCGAACGTTGACGTCCATCGTTCTGTCATACTCCGCCATGTTTGTTTTCATCAACGTACCATAGCTTGCGGTACCGGCATTGTTTACCTTTTTATATCAAAGGAGAAGAAAAGAAATACTAGAGAGGTATAAACAGTTGCAAAGCAAATGCATAATGTTTACCTTCGCATATGGTCTGCTCTGTTAATTCTTAACTCAAACACATTGGTGACATATATGGTAACAGGAGTCTAAATCCCTCCAGCTATAAAATTGCAACATGATGTAACTCAACACTAGTTGCCATGGTAACAGACAACTGGTTCAGGTCATTGACCTTTTTGGTTTGGAGAAGAAGAGGAGACTTAGCAAAACAAAAATGTTTTCCTATGGTAAACATCGTAAAGACTATTACTGCATGTGACAACGACATTACCAGTACATCGATTCTGCCAAACTTCTGTGCAGTTTGATTCACCAAGTTTTTCTTCAGTTCTTCATCGCGGATGTTTCCTGTTACAAGCAGGATCTGGGGTGGGGGGTGGGGTGGGGGGGGGAGGAACAATAAATAATGTACAATGCAATATTTCAGACAGAAGTCAGGCAGTTGCGAAAATACGGTTTTCGTAAAAAAAAAAAGAAAAACAGACAAGAAAACAGACAGGCAAATACTAGTAAACAAATATATAGTCTATTTTAGGAGGGTATGTCAGTGTAAACATTGAACACCTTGTCTTCTGGAGTCCCTGCCTCCACACAGGCCTTTGCTGTGGCCTGCAGGTTTTCCTGGTTTCTCCCAGTCAGAGCCAGGTGCGCTTTCAGCTGAGCAAATTCCACAGCTGTCCCCTTCCCGATACCAGAACTGGCACCTGCAGTAGCACAAAGATCTATCATCGCTATCAACTCAAAGTATCCAGTGACATACACTGGAGTCACTAGGATAAATATAATGTTTAAGTCGTAAAATGTACCAAATTTACTGATTTCTCTGAAGCCACCAAAACGTTTTATGCCTGGCGATTAAGTCGACACCATTAATATATTCTGCCCACCCCTGGGACAGGGAAACCGGCAGCAGTATAATCAAAACCAGGATAGTGTGAGGGAATATTTAGGTACGTAGCTAGCATTATATTGTAAAGTCTAAACACACTGTGATCCGCCCCCCTCCCTTTACATGAACTTAGGCGACCTCCACCTCGTTTGACCAGTCTAAACTACTGAGAAATTTTACGAGCTCATGATTACATACCTGTAATTATGGCCACCTTCCCTCTCAGGCCAATCATATTTTGCCTTAAGGTTTTGAGACTGTCAAGCATAAATTCAATGCTAAAACTCTCTCCTCCTTTTTTTACAGCAAGGCCAAATACGATCAAGGCCACAATTATATAACGTTTAGCCTTGGGTATCAATCAGGGCATGACAGTCCTTGAAAAGCTAAAGATAGTCTTTTGTGCACAGCAGTGAGGTGGAATTAAGCTGTGCTGAAAGGTAGATAAATCAAGGACTCTCTTTTTAGACCCGGCCGGTCTATGACCTGACTAGCCTCGCCAGCGGGGAGCGCATCTTGGGGAGCGGACGAAAGCTTAAACAAGGCTGACATTGAGGCTATGACCTGACAGGGTCAACAGAATCTTTGCTTCTGGTCAGCTTCTGTGACCTAGCTTCCTGTGCCTGACCTTTTGTGGTTAGGGAATTCCCCCCACCCACGTCCTGTGCCACTTGAAACACTGAAGCGAATACACACTCCAAAACAAACAGCACAAAAACAAAAGTTGAAATGTGTTCAACAAAGTATATATTTTCAGAGCTTACCAGACTTATATAATTCCCATGTACTGATATGACTTTATTGGAACAAGGGTCTTAAAAATTATACTTGTATAACTTCATTTTTTTATATATTACTTCATATTTTTTATAAATCCTGTGATTTCTCGAATCACACGCGCTTGAAGATAAAGTAACTGAATTTCTATTCTTCTTATTATAGATTTAAGACCAGCTCTTTTAAACATCATTATAAGACTTCAAAATATGTGTTTATGGGTTATCTTAAATTGTTCAAAACCTTACAAGGGTTATCTTAATTTGTTTAAATCCTTACAAGCCACCATAATTTGTGCGTTTGGTCATAATTTCATTAAAAATCTATTTCAAAAATAGAGATATTCAATATCAAATTGAATTCTCACATTATGTGATCGTAGGATCTTGATTTTAGGGACACCATCATTTTCCATCTATAGCCTGAGCAATTCTTGAGTACAAGTGTACTTGTATTGGAGTGACCATGAATTAATTAGGATGGTCGTCAACTAAGTTAACGAGGACACATGGCGTGCCTCCCGCCGTCCACGGGGACCTGGGCGCCGGTTATGAAGGACGCGTCCGACGAGGCCAGGAAGGCGATGGTCTTCGCAACTTCTGAAACTTCTCCAGGTCTCCCAAGGGCGTGGGTCGACTTGGAATGTTCCAGAAACTAGTCACGAAAAAAAAAAGAAGAAAAAAGTTTAAGCATCTGATTTATTTTTGCTATGAAAGTATTACGATTTTACACAAGGATTGATATAACTAAGTACTGTCTTGTGAACTTTAAAAGAAAACTGCTAGGAGAATTTCCCATAACTAATATAGGGTAAAGCTAGCCTGGGTACCATAGGGAGTGAATATGGGAGCCCCGGCATACAAATAGGATGGTACCCAGGCTAGTGTAAAGCCTATTTACATGAAAAAAAACCTACAAAGATATAACTTATAGTGCTCAGCAAGCAAACAAACTGCCCAATCCCATATCTGCCTTACCAAAAGGCTTTAGCAATAGAAAGGTATGATACAATACATAATGTTGAATCTGGAGTTGATATCTGACCTTGTTATACTCCTCTTCATTCATGCCTCCACGTTTGTGTAGCGCCGTCACAATAACACCAGGGCTGGGGGATAATACAAACAATAAACAACAACAACAACAAAAACAACAAACTAGAAAGGTAACATTTGCAAAGCACGTGGTCTTCTCTGTCACTAGTAATATTTACTCAAACACATGATTCATACATTTAGTGACAGGAGTCTAAATCCCTCCTGCTATAAGATTGCAACATGATGTAACCCACCACTAGTTACCATGGTGACAGACATCTGGTTCATCAGGTCATTGACCTTATTTGTTTGGAGAATCAGAGCAAACACAATATGTTTTCCTTCGGTAAACATAAAAACCAACATTTTGCTGAAACTTGAAAGTCCCAATTATCACACATCACAACACATATAGTCTTTTGATTTTTTTCAAAAGTACTTTCTATCTAATTTAGAAATTTAACATATACGTACTTCACAGAGTTGACCCTGATTTGCTTGGAAGCGAGTTCTGAAAAATCAAAGGTAGTTTTAATGTAAAGACAACTATTTTTGCATAGCAAAATATATTTTTCAAACCTGCATACTTTTAATTACATGTTCTCAACCTGTGCCTATTCTTCTGTTCATCAGTTGACATGACTTCTAAATTCCTGATATTTTACAATATTGATGTTAACCTTTTTTTTACTAGGAAAATTTTACCTTAAAGACTTTATAATCTATATCTTTCACCCACCCCCTATGGCTGTGATTGCTAGTGATGGCTAGAACGAAAACCAAGAACTAAAAATTTATTTTCCTGACCGAGTGCAACACATCTTGTGAACTGGTCGACGGCAGCTTTGCTCATGCAATACGCAAGAACTCCTGGGAACTGGAACAAAATGATGCAATAATCATAAAAGGTATGAATATTACTATGTCTGGTCATGGGTTAAAAAAAAAACAAGTGTAAGATTAAAATAATAGATGAAAATATAATTCTGACAGAATTTCTGGTCCTTCAGTTTCTTGCAACTGCAATAGTTCAAGATTTAAGCTAGCTAATAAGAAAATGATCTTAGTCTTACCGCTCGCATGCCCGTCACACTGGACACATTCACAATGGCACCTGGGAACAAATGAAATAAAAATTAAAAAAAGAACTTTCTTTTCATAGTCATTCTCTAGATAACAATGCTATATGTATATAGTCTCCTTTTCAGACTTCTTGAAGTTGCAGAGTCTATTAATTTTTCTTTTTCTTTGGTGGGGGGGGGAGTGCAAATACACCATTTTTTCCATGGGTTACTAGTTAGTTCTCTAATGTGACAGAGAGAGAGTTTGGGACAAAACTCTCTACAAGGCATGATTTCCACACACCTTGTTAGCCCAAAAAAATTATGTATCATTGTGTAAAACTTATGTATTAGTGTTTTCCCAAGAAACATTAACACACTGCCTAAAATAGTCTGTGAAGGAGGCTATAGTGCATTACACACTAGCTAAGACAGTTATACTGGCTTTAAAGACATATACAGATACAGAATATGCTATTAAATAGAACATTACCTTTAGTTTTTGTGAGATGTGGCACACAGAGCTGAGTCAGGGCCACCACACATCGAGCATTAATGTCCATCATCCTGTCATACCCTGACATGTCTGTGGTCTCGATGGTGCCCTTTAAGATAACGCCAGCACTGTTAACCTGTTAGAAAAGGAGAGACAAGCTTACATGTAAGCAAAAGCCTATAACTAATCATTTAATTTGATTGATAGACACATAGAAACAAATACAGGACAGACAATACTCATTTTCACTTGAGTTAAGTGGGGAAAGTCGTGTTAAGTGCCTTTCCCAAGGGCACAAGATCAGTGGCATGACAGGACTCGAACCCGGGACCTCTTGGTTCTGAGCCCAGCACTTTGCCGTTACGCCAAACAAGCCCACAATCATTGCCAAAGTACTATAAGTATATGAGGGAAAAGTATAGAATATCTAGTGTAGAATAAAGAGACTCAACCAAGTGTTTTATTTAGCCAGCATTTCGATGACTGTCTGTCACCTTCCTCAGGGTAATTTGGTTGTGTAAAAAGAGATCTCTATATTCAGTGACCTACCATTATCTGATGTATTCACGGATGTATACAAATACAGTGTTGCTCTTATGATTATGGGTTGAGCAAAACCTATGAATATATGACAAATGAACTGGAAAAAAATGGTCCACTTGGAAATTTTGTTACCACACCAGCACATCTATCCTGCCAAACTTCTGGACAGTTTGTTCCACCAGGTTTTTCTGCACTTGTTCATCACAGATGTCTCCTGTTACAAGCAGGATCTGGAAAAAAGAAATCAAGGATTTTGAAGAGAAAAGTCAATGATGTAAACTACATGATTATCCAGGTTGGACCATAATGTAAACATAACAATTCATTATAAGGTTTACTTAAAGTAAAATAAAAATTGTGAAAATCATAATCTTATAAAAACTCTTCAGACTTACACAGTGCAATAACACCAAAATATTGCAAACAAACAAACAAACAAACAAACAGTTTCAACAAATACCTTGTCTTCTGGAGTCCCTGCCTCCACACAGGCCTTTGCTGTGGCCTGCAGGTTTTCCTGGTTTCTCCCAGTCAGAGCCAGGTGCGCTCCCAGCTGAGCAAATTCCACAGCTGTCCCCTTTCCGATGCCAGAACTAGCACCTGTTATCATGCGAAAAAAAAATTCAAATTGAGCTTTCTAATAGTTAGAATCGCAACTGAAAATGGTGACACCATTGCTTGGAAGTCTATATATTTTTTTTGAATGCTTATTCATACAAATAATGTAACTGTTACTAGTATTATTATAATAATGTTATATGGCTTGTCTCGTCCGTTGTAATTTGGAATTGTATACGCAAACTTCCTAAAATTCAGGGAGTTCTGTCCCTGTTATGTTCGTATTTTGGTGTCACGAATAAATACTAGTAAATAAATTTTCGCCATGATATTACACGTATTAGTAAGCCACGCCCCCCTCCCCTCCCCAAAACCAACTCAAGATTGAGAAATTGGGCTATCTAATGTCTCTCCTCTTTTTATACACCTCACCTGTGATTATGGCAACTTTCTCCCTCAGATCAGGCATCTTTAAGCTCAAGTTACGCCAAAAATCAGCCAGAAAATGTCTTTTTGTGACAGTAAAAGCGTGTCTCTTCTTGTGGCGACCGAAGTTCTGAACTTTTGAACTTTCCAGGTGGGCAGACAGCATCGAAGTGTAAAAAAAAAAGACGTTTGTAGCAAACGTTGCAGATTACTTAGATATAATCATAAACATCAAAATCTAGTATCTTAAATTTTGTTCAATAATACTAAATGTTGAATAGATGACTATAGGGCATTTTATGGAGTTAGACCGTAGTTTTTATTTATCCTTTTATTGCGCTTGCTTGCAATGAGCTTACAGAGTTCACTGAGGTCAATGACCTGTAGTCCGGAAGACACAAGACGTATGCACCTTGCATTATACTAGTACTCTGAGTATCATGGAATGAATAAATTCCGTCACATTAAAAATTGCTAACAATAAGACGAAACTTGTGAATATTCACTGGTGACTGAGAGTATAACATTGATTTTTTTCGCACAGTAAAAAAATAATAAATGGAAACCAAGGGAGGTTCAATACACACTCATAGTATTAGTAGTACATTTTTTCCTATTAGTAAAAAAAGAAGAGTAAAAACAATGTGACCCCGACGTGATTCGAACACGCAACCTTCTGATCTGGAGTCAGACGCGCTACCGTTGCGCCACGGAGTCGCCGTGACGTCAGGACGCCGCTGGGCACACCAAGATGCGGATGTTGCGCTTCCAGCCATATGGATCGATAATTCTCTACCATTCGGCCGCTGGTGGCGTTGTAGGGACATGTATGTGTTTTAGGGTGGTGAAGCTCGAAGTTCAACAATTATTCGAGAGAAAATAATTTAAATTGTGGCAATTTGAAGCTCCCCAAAATATTAGAATTAAAAAAGTGAAATTACCAACATTATATAGTTTTATTTCATATGGGGAATCATTTCTTAACACGACAGACCAATAGGTTAATGAAGATAAGGATTGGAATCCTTTGTAAGTAAAGTTGACATGTGAAAATGTCTGTTTGTTTTAATGTATTTAATGTTCAAAGTTCCCTTGGGCTCACATTATATTTCACAAAGGTTAGTGTGAGAAAAAAAAGTGATATATTTTCGAGTAGAAATGCTCGTGAAAATGTCCCCTTCGATTAAGGAAGAAAGGAAATGCACTTTTCCATACGCTGCAATGCGAAATTCACATTGCATCAGCACCATAGGAAAGGCAATGAATCACCTGTGTTTCCGATAACAGATAAGCGCCTGCAGACCTTAAACAATATGTATGTCACATCTTAGCCGCAAGACGGCGCTTGTGAACGGTCAACACAATTTTCCCTGCAGTTTGTGAACAAATCGCAAGGCGGCGCTCGTGCACGGCGAAGTGGTTTGATCACGTGACCTCAAACAAGCAAGATGGCGGCCTCTTCGTTGGATGACAAGGCGATCTGGGACGACGGAGATGTAAGAAAAACTGCTTTATTCTAACATCCCCGCTTGTATTTGACTATTCAGAGCATTCTTTATAGTATAAATGATATTTGGAGGGAGAAAGTTGGTTTAAATGGTGGAAAATTGTGAAGAAATCATCGTTCAAAGTTACCGATTTTGGCACACTCGTGGTCATACTCCATTCATAAGGGCCAAGAAAAAATTATGTTTTCCGTACTTCCTACTTTTCGTGAGACTTTGTGCTTGATACGTCAGTTGCCGTAATTTTATTCCTTGTATTTGAACGAATAATTGAGTATAAAATAGTGGCCGCATCAGCTGATATGTCGCACCATGAACATGCAAGTTTTGTTGTTGTTAGGATCGTGGGGGAGGGGGGCAAAAATTGTGTCAAAGTAGAGTTTTATTCCAAAGTACATATCGCAAAGTACAAATGACTTAGTGTTGTGAAAAGTCTTTTGTTTTCTGAACGTCCCAATTTGTAACCGTCTTCCCCTTGATCGAAAAATTGTGTGTCTTCTGATGTTGTGGTTTAATCATAAATTATGGTGAAAGTTTTTATCATCCCTCAAATTATTTACTAGTACCTTAGATTCTGTCGGTTCAAATGACGACCAAAACATGCGAAATAGACCCATCTACATCCTGAACTGTAATTTTTCTCTCCACCTGTAGGAGGCGCTGGGAGAAGAAGTCATGCGAATGTCCACAGATGAAATCATCAGCAGAACTCGGCTGCTTGATAATGAGATAAAGGTACAGGGCTTCAAGTTGTTTTTTCCCTAAGTTTTTTTAATTCCATATTAGGCATTAGACATTTCTCCATACATTATGGCCCCTCAACCTTTTTGAAAGATAATATATGGTTATACAGGTAGTACTCTTTTAAGTTTTATGTCAATTCACAGATTTTGTGTCTTGGAGTTACTGCTGATTGTAGTTTGCAAGCTGGGGTTTCTAACATGCACTAGCAATACATTTTGTATCATGTATGTTTCTCACACAGATTATGAAGAGTGAAACGATGCGGATCTCACACGAGCTTCAGGCTCAGCGAGAGAAAATCAAAGAGAACACAGAGAAGATCAAGGTCAACAAGACACTGCCTTACCTGGTGTCCAATGTTATAGAGGTAAGTGTCTAACTCGAAGATAAAAATCCAGGGATATGCCTATGTATTCTATATAGCCCTGGATTCTTGTAAGTTGTATATACAGGTTCATTGTATCAGGGAATTCCCATAAATATTTTTGACAAGACTTTACAATGTACTGTGGGTCATGGCTGAATGTCCCCTTCTAAGGATTGCAACTACAATGTATTTCCCGGATAGCAAATAACCGGATTTAGATATTGCTTTTTAAACACACACAATGACACACACACACACACACACACACAGTGAGACATTATGATCTATAAATCTATGAGTGTCACACTCATAGATTTATAGATCATAATGTCTTCTATGCAACAAAAACTTTCCCTATCCTCTCATGTCATTATGTGTGATCTCTCAATCTGTGATCTCATATTAAATCCTGCCATGATCCCTGACCCTGTGATCTCGTGTCCCAGATCCTGGACGTGGATCCCCAGGATCAGGCGGAGGAGGACGGCGCCAACGTGGATCTGGATTCCACCAGGAAAGGGAAGGCTGCCGTCATCAAAACCTCCACCAGACAGACGTACTTCCTACCTGTCATTGGCCTGGTGGACGTGGAACAACTCAACCCTGCAGATCTGGTGGTCAGTATTAAGCTAGGAACCATGTAGAAACATGTAAAACCATTTAATAACTGTAAAACCATGTAAAAACCATGTGAAAACTACTTAAAACCAATGTAAAACCAGGTAAAATATGTAAAAAGTCATGGTGGACGTGGAACAACTCAACCCTGCAGATCTGGTGGTCAGTATTCAGCTAGAACCCATGTAAAACATGTAAAAGCCCTGTAAAAGTATGGAAAAAACAACTGAAAAAACATGTAAAACTATGTAAAAAATCATGTAAGACCATGTTTTTGACACCTTCAAGTTTACAAAACCATGGAAGTGTTTTTGTTTTTCGTAAACAGGATTAGAGCCCTAAACATTTCAGTTACCAAGCTAGAAGCCATGAAACAATGAAGAATTCCTTCCTTTTTTGTGTGAATTGGATTAGAACCCTAAACCTTTCAGTTACCAAGCTAGAAACCATGTAAAAATGAAGAATTCTGTCCTATTTTTTTGTGAATGGGGTTAGAGCTTTAAACCTTTCAGTTACCAAGCTAGAAACTATGTGAAAATGAAGAATTCCTTTCCTGTTTTTAGGGAGTAAACAAGGACTCGTACCTGATCCTGGAGAAGCTGCCAGTGGAGTATGACTCCCGCGTGAAGGCGATGGAAGTGGACGAGAGACCAACAGAACAGTACAGCGACATCGGAGGGCTCGACAAGCAGATCCAGGAGGTAGGAGCGCTACTTG